CCTCGAGTTGGCATGGCACTGCCCCATTGAGGTCAGTGGTCCCGGGGTGTTCAGTGCAGTGGCTCTTGGCCCTCAGTGCCTTAGCTCTGAGCCTTGGGGGCCGGGGCCTCTTAACTCCCAGTGTTATGGTTCTGGGCTCTTAATGCTGCAGCTCCCAGTGGCTTCTAACAACATCATTGTGTTCTGGGTCCCAATCAGCCTGGTGTGCTGCATCCCTGGCTCCTCTGGAACAACCTCCCTTGGCTGCCCACTACACCCCTCAGCCCTTTTATTGTTCTCTGTCCAGCAGCATCACTCTTTAGGCCTCAGGTACACTTTGAGATCTAACTTGCCTTCACTGATATAGGCCTGCGGCTGCTTCTAGACCTACCCTGGGCCTGGGCCTTTTCTGATGGCTTTGGCTTGGGCTTCACAGAAGCTCTAGTCCTCCCTTTGGCCCATTGGCCCCGGGCCACACACAACACATCTTCAGTCTTCAGTGCCTGCTGCTGCCCACCTGTACCCCCTGAGTCTTCAGGGGTCATGACCTCTGATGCTAACAAGCTCTGTTAGGGTAGCCTACTCAGCCCCGTCCAGCTGAACTGGAGGTAGAATCACCTGAACAGGAAGTAAGATCTCCTGAACAGGAAACAAGACCTACTGAACAGGAAGTAGGGCCACTGGAACAGGAAGTAAGACCTCTTGAGTGAGGGCTTTCTTATGCCCTGTGCAGCAGCACTGTACTAGTATGCCAGAAGGAACCCTGCTCCACCTACAAAAGCAGGAGGTGAGAGGAGGGTGTATATAAGGAGCCGGGCAAAGTCAGCTAGACTGATCTGAGGCAGGGCCGTGTGGAATAGGTCAGCATGTCAAGGCTGTGGCAGCCAGGGCCATATCTTCTGGAGCAGCTGCGGGGTACTTAGGACAGGCTCAGCTTCTGTGCTAAAAGCTCCTGTACTTCCTCTGAGAGGAAATTGCCGTGCCTGTGTCAGGGAAGGAGCGTGACAGCCCCTTCATGTCATAGCCTGCTCCTGGCTGCTAAGGGACAGGGAAGAAATGAGCCCTCCCAATTTCTATCTCTAATTCTTTATTTATAATCTTATAACATTTCCAGGACTTAAAAATATATTCCACCTAGAGGTATTTGGGGTGTACATAAGCTGGTAGAGATTAATAGAAAATTGTGGAAAAATATAGCAAATGCCATTCATAAGTATTTCTTTGACATGCAGTTCAACATAGACTGTACTTTCTAACATATTTCTGAGAGGAAAAAGTAGAAGATCCCCTAAAAAGCTGATAACACACGATACCAATGTCATCCCTGCTTAATGAACAGAATGATAGTTTTTGACACTGCACTAAATCCTTATTTGGACAGGAAGAAAAGGATGACATTAAGGGAAAGTAAACTCACCACTTCTTCGTGCCTGCATTTTCTCACATTAATTCCATTTATCTGAAAGGAATATAAAGGCATAGTTTCATACAGCAGTCTACAAATTGGCTCTTGTTTTGAAGATATAATGATAAAATATGTACCTGTAGAATTGCATCTCCAATAAAGAGCAACCCTGAAAGTTCCGCTGTGAATGAAAAGAACAAATAACTATGAATTTGCTACTTTCACCACACACACAAAAATGTCTTAAATTGAAGGTTAAATGGACACATGAAGCAAAATTAAATGCTCTATGTTGTTAATATCTTTGCAAATCCACAAAGAATGGAAATGTAAAACTATAATATGTTTCAATCCACTTTA